GCCTTATTTGGTCGCCTTCGCACCATTGAGGAGCACGGAGGCCATTCTTGGAGCCAAGGGCAGGGGAGAGGCTCAGCCCTGGGCCCCCAGACCATGTAAGGAAGGGAGGGGGCAGCCAGGGGGATGGCCAAATAGGGAACTAGGGAGGGGCACGCCGCGAAGGGTAGGGGGCAGGGGAAGACAAAGTGACGCCAGCCCACTCCCTTCCCGTCCTAGGGTTGGGTGCTCCCTGGGTGTGCTGTGGGTTTGTTCCTCCCCAGCCCACCAGCCTCCGAGAACAATGAGCCACTTACAAACGAGTGGAAAGTCTTGGCGCCTTGCCTTGGCTTAAGGGGTCCTGACAGCTGGGCCAGGGCAGCAGAGGATAGCGGCTTCTCCTCTTCCAGGGCTGGGCGCTGCGGGAGGAGCAGAACCCTGGCCGTCCTCATGGGCACTAAGGGCACCCAGCAGCGCATTTGGGTGGCTGGAAAAGGGGTACCCGAGTCTGGGCGCCGTCTCGTCTGGTTCCCACCCGCCTAATTGGCTTTCCTCGGGGAGCTGGGGTTGTGCTCTCCCAGGTGAGAAGACTTGAGATAGTTATCCAAGGCCACCTTAGTCCTCCACCTATGCATGGCTCAGGGTCTTGGCCAGGGAAGAGGCCAAGAAGAGCCGGGTCTAACTGGTTGACGTGATAGTTTGACCAGGTTTGGCTGGAGAAGGGAAGACGGTGTAGCACAGCCCAGACATCAGCGCAGGGTGGGTTGGTGTGTCATTCTGTCGTGCATAGGATGGCAAGGGGTTGGGAACTTCTCGATGGCACCTAACAGCAACAGACGCCAGCTATGCCTCGTCCATGTTTGTTAAACAGCCTCTGGTCCCTAAATCCAAAAAGGAGCTCATGGCATTACAGTGAATGAAGGAACAAACGCTCAAAGTAGCTGACCCGTTTGCTGGTGGAAACCTGAGTGTTTTATCCAAGGGGCAAAAAGCTTCTGTTTAAAGCAGAGACAAGCCTGAATCATCAAATACTCCAGTTGGAGTGATAGCAAGAACCTAGCCTGCACACCTGCACAAAGTGTAGCCTATGAACCAGCAATCAGCAGCAGCTACAGAACCAGGGAATCACAGGCCTCATCCCAGCAGAATCAGGATCTTTGTTTTAGCAAGATCTCCCTCAGCCTCAGCACCAGATGATTATATGTACATGGAAGTGTACAAAGCACTGGTATATACGACTGATATCAGCTCCTTCATGGAGAATATATTTTGAAAGATCGTGGTGCTTTTGAGGAAGGAAAGGGAAGATTGGGTGAAGTGAGGAGGTAGGAGGCAGAGGGACAAGCAAAAGCATTAGAAGGACGCAGGTCACTGGTTTGCCCTGGGGTGCCCTGTATCCTATGTTCTTGACGGGTACTTTGATTTCTAAGGCTGTGTTTTTTCTCTAGTTCACACCAGTTAAAAATAGAAAACTGGGCACAGGCATCGCTCTCTAGAGTGGTCTTGGATTGATATGCTGAAGAGACCTGCTGATTAGAGATATTTGTTCATACCAGGGAATGCTAGGCGTCCCCCTGAACTCCCCAACCATGTTTGGGTTGGTCCAGGGACAGCTGTACAGCAGAGCTGGATGAGAGGACTGGCTCGGGTCACGCCCTGCAGCACAGTAGGCATTTTACCATGAGTGCAAAGTAATAGAGCTTCCGTGCTACAGGCAAATGGGAAAGAACAGGGAGAAAGTGGAGAGGGAGGGTACCCATGTGAGAAGCAGAGAGCCATAGGTTCAAATTCTGCCTCTAACACTGTCTTTTTGGCAAGTCCCTTATCATTCATAAGCCTTAAGTTTCCCTTCTGAAAAGAGACACCACACCTTCTTTCTCAGATGATTGCACTACTGATGATCAGATGATCTAATGTGTGCAGAAGACACAAAGCCAATGGTCAGTAGTACTGCAGTCCAATAGCATTGGCCCTTTGGAGACAGCAGCATGCACTTGTGAAGAATCGGGTCAACACCATTTATTCGAGAAGTGAACGAATGCATAGATATGAGCCCAGAACTGAGTTAGATTAAAAATAGAGCAGACTCAGACTCTTGTGGCAACTACACAATTGAAGAGAGAAGGAAGGCGTGTGCTATCAGAGCGGGTTCAGAGGAAGGTTCAGAAAAGTCTTCCTACGATGTGCCAGTTAGTTGTTTTAAAACCAGGTGGAAGTGAAATTCATGGACATTTGTAGGGAAGACAGACTGTACCTTCGTGGGAACAGCTGGTGGAGAAGGCTCACATTGCCTGCCGTATGTTTCAGGAATCAATATTTATCTTTAAAATACTTTTCCGTTTTCTCACTCACTGAGTTGATTCCCGCTCACAGCGACCCTAAAGGACAGAGGAGAACTGTCCCGGTGGGTTTCCGAGATTGTGACTTTATACAGCAGTACAAAGCCTCATCTTTCTCCTGAGGAGCTGCTGGTGGTTTCCAACTACTGACCTTGCTGGTTAGCAGCCCAATGCGTAACTCACTGTGCTATTGGGGCTCCAAGTGCTTTCTGTTCTGCTCAGCTTGACTCATGTGTCAACTCATGGCACTGACTCGTGTGTCAGAACAGCCCTGTGCTTCAGAGGACTTTCTTTTT